CATACTGAAATTTGATAGCATTTGGAGCAGATTTGAGGTGATTGAGATCGAAATTTTCAACTGAAAATCGAAGAAGAACACAGCTACCCAATAGTATACTGCTACGGTATACAATATGCTGTAGGAGTACATAGCTATACTCCAACAGTATACTATAGGAGTATATAGTTATACTGCAACAATATACTATTATAGTATATAATATATTGTTATAGTATACTGTAACAATATGCAATATACTGTAATAGTATACTGTAATAGTATACAATACACTATAATAGTATACTTATTACCCGTAAATTCACTTGTTCCCTTTAAATTTGTTTTAAGCTTTTACCCAAGCGTGAGGGGCAAACTGAAAATGCAAAAAAAATAAAAAATAAATTATAGTATGCTATATGATTTAATGGTATACTCTTACAATTAGGTCCTTTTAGAATTTTTTTTTTTTACAACTGATATTATTTCAGTTTAATAATTGAATTAAATTTTTTTTAACTCTTTGCGTACAATTATATACCCTGTTGGTATAGCTATATACTATATTGGTATCATATGTTAGTTAATACTTTTTGATTGTATTGACTACATTTAATTGGTACACAATTTGATTTTTCTTTAGTAATGATATAAAAAAAAGAATAATAAAAAATAGTGAAAACAGTAAATGAAATTAGATTATGAAGAGAAAAAGAATATAAAAAAAAGAAGTTAAATGAAATTAGAGAAGGAAAAAAGAAAAAAATAAGAAGAAAACGAGAAAAAGAAAAAGACATGGGTTGCCTCCAAGAAGCGCCTGATTTAACGTCGCGGCACGACGCGGGTTACCAACACNAAAGGAGAAAAGAAAAAAAGAAAAAAAGAAAAGAAAAGAAGCATAGAAATAAAAAAGAATTGGAGAATAAAGAAAAAATTCCCCACAAAAACTACTATGGGTAGGAAATGTAATTAGTTTATGGGTAGAAAAACAAATGAGTAGACAAGAGTAAATAGTTTTGTTTTTGTAGGTAACTGTGTCAAAACCTTAATATTCGCTAATTAGAAAATTCTTTTCATCTCTTTTGCACAGGTTTGCACATAATTCATAGCGTCTTATTGAACTAAACCGGATATTGATTGGCCCATTTTAATTATAAAAATTTGTTTTAAGAAATGTGAAAAGTTTTAACTATACGTTTCATAGTATATTTAGCCAGGAGAATTTTAAATTGCTTACATTTAATAACTTGTACAAAGAACTAGTGCAAGGTTTGGTTTCAAGTGAAATAGGTCGTTATCGAATCTTGCAAGTTACCGAATTTTACATGCAAATTGTTGATTCACAATATTTAAAGAAAGCTTACATGTTAATAATATATTTTAAGATCATATATGGGATTTTCATATATAGCAATACCCTATGCACGTTATAGTCAGTGGCGTAGCCACCCTATGCCAAGGGTGGTCAAGCGCAGACCCTTCGTCGAAAAATTATATTCCGTATATAAATTAGATACTACTTTATATGGTTATATATTATGCTTTGAATACCCTTAATACAATTGAGTGAGGCAGTCCACGAGCCCGCATTCCAGTAGTTTAGTGTGTTCAAAGTGACGTATTATTCATTTGGTTCAAAGTTTTGCCCATTTTATTTGCCAAAACTAAACGGAGACCACTATGTATGTTCTATTTGGTTCTTTTTCAATCTAAAAAATTTCCTAATAAAATAACTCTTAAGACTTAAAATTTGTGTAGAAATAAATAACTAATCTTAAAAGTACTTTTTTAACTAAAAGTTATTTCTTAAATAATTTTTATAATTTAGAAGTCAAGCTCTTTATTAATTTCTTTAACAAAAGCTCTCTACAAACTACATCCTTTGGTTTTTACGCTTACTTATTAGTAAAATTTTTAATGTTGTCTTTTTGTTATTTTAAAGTTGATTTATAAGATTATAGTTCTATTAAAAAGAAATTACTGTCTAGCTAAACGTTATGTAGTTCGATCTAAAAATTTGAAAAAAAAAAAGAATTGACTTGTTTAAAATTTGAACACCCTTGACGGGATTCCTGGCTACACCACTGATTTATTGGTTCTGTCTTTTACACATAAGAGATCTAAAAAAATTATTTTCTTAAATTTTAAAATTGTAAAGGGTCATGATGTAGAAATTATAGTCCGTCCATATTTGTTCCTAAAATTACCTAATTATCAAATTTTTAAGAAAAAGCTAATAGTAAAAGCCAAGATTAACACCCGTCACACAAGAAAGGAGTGGACAGTGCATAGTTTTAGAGATGCACGTGCCAATCCTATATATAAATGTTAAATGCAAAGGGGATTAGGTTTTTGGATTTTATATACCTTGGTCAACGCAACCAAAAGGTTTTAAAGGAGCTACAGTATTTGGCCAGTGCTTTTGCCATAACTAGGGTTTTTACGAAGATGCATGTTGATAAAGTAAGAAGTGCTACTGTGGCTGTTAAGATCCGAAAGACGAAGCGAGAAACTCCGAAGCGTCCGGTGGGCTTTTTATTTCCTTTTTCTTTTTCTTGTTTTATCGATTTTTGATTAGTAAGAATAATTGATGTCTTCTGTTCGCTTACATGCTTTGTCTGCAATGCTGAATTTAATAATGAATTGTTGGTTTACAGAAGACATCATGGGTGAAGGATGTTTGGTCGGATGATATCAATCGGCAGCTGGAGGGGACCTCACGAGTCCGAAAATTGGTTGATATGAGTATGACTAATCATTATCCAGGAGTCTTCATGTTGGAGAAGTTAGGTCTCATGTTGCTCGATTTGTTGAGTTTCTGAGCAACAAAGATTCTTGGCAGCTCCAGGTAGAGAATTAATTATTAGCTTTTCAACCAACACTTGCTTTATTCTTATAGTTCTGCATTCATAGGTTGAAGCTGCTTGGGTTCTCACCAGTGCTTTTGATGGCTCGACTCCTTCGAATGACCATTTGCTGGAGCCAATATTTCAAAAATTGTATTCCAATCAGGTGTGTTTTAGATCCCTACGACATGTTGTATTTTCTTTCCAACTATAGGCTGATATGTGATTTTCTGAATGGTTGGTTTACAGGAAAGTCTTGAATTAGCGGTCGTTGGTATTTTATCCGATCATACAATTCTGCAGGGCATAGCAACCAAACAATTCCGAACACTGCTCTCTATCAGTATGACTAAGTCTGCTCCGGGCTAATTTTTTTTATTCAATTTGCCTATCACTTACTTTGCCAATCTTTTTCCACAGATGAGAAACTTGATCTTTGCGAAGCTATGAAGTTTAGCGTTATTCTTCGATTTGCTCAGTTTATAAAGATGCCATATTGCCTGCAGCAGCTCAAGGTAGACAGTGATGTGTTGTTGATTACCTTTCTGCACCTTCTTTAGCGTCTTGCGGTTCTAGCTTCACACTTGCTTTATCCTTATGGTTTTACATTCTTAGGATGATTCTGCTTGGATTCTCGTACTTATTTTCTCTTTCCGCCTCGCTTATAAATTTGATAGGGTTGAATATGGGTTGGTGGAAGTTCTTGTAAAGCTTCTGGACTCTCCAGATGAAAGTCTTTGTGCCCCCCCCCCCCCCTCCCGTCC